GGGGAGTCCGCCGGGTGGAGCTCCGACCGGGGGATGCGCATGGCATCGAGGGTGTCGATGTATAGGTTGTTGAGGCCGCTTCCTCCGTCCATCAACACCATGGTGAGGTGCTTCTTGAGGATGATGGGGTCGACGACGAGCGGGTAGCGTCCTGGTCTCGCGATGCAGGAGGGATAGTCCCTCTGATCAAAGGTGATCGGGGACGCCGACCAGCTGAGGAAGGAGGGGACGGCTGTCTTGGCGGCGCACGCCTCCCTATAGCGTACCTTATGCTGGCGTTTAGTCCAAATGGCGTTGGACCCTCCGAAGATCATGATGCACTCCTCAGGCTCGAGGAAACCATCTCCGTCCTTGCCTACCATGCCTCCTCTCTTGGCTGCCGAGTCCTTGCCGTCTCCCTCCTTTGACCCACCAGGCTGTCGAAGGAAGCGTTTGAGGAGTTCGCACTCCTTGTAGAGGTGTTTGACAGGGTAGGCGTGGTTAGGGCACGGACCATCCATGAGTTTGTTGAAGTGGTCAGGCAGTCCCTGTTGGGGCTGCCTAGGCGTGCGATCAGTCGCGGCGACCAGCGCGGCATTGTCTGACCGGCACCGATCCTTCTTGTTCTTCTTGCCCCTCTGAGTGGAGGGACCTTTGTCTAGATCCGCGCGCTTGGGCTTGCCTTGGTCCTAGCCTCCGTTGATGACCGCTCCGACTGCCTCCTCGCCGGAGGCGTGGTTGGTGGCAACGTCAAGCAGATCGCGGGTGGTGCGCGGTTTTAGGCAGCCAAGCTTATGGATCAGGGACTCGCAGTTAGTCCTTGAAAGAAATGCGCTGATGACGTCCACATCAATGACATCAGGGAGGGAGTTGCATCGTTGAGAGAACCTACGGATGTAATCTCGCAGGGACTCGCTGGGCTCCTGCTGACAGCTCTTGAGGTCCTAGGAGTTCCCCGGGTGGACGTACGTCCCCTGGAAATTCCTAATGAAGACCCTCTTGAGGTCCGCCCAGTCGCGGATGCTGTCGTGTGGAAGGAATTCAAGCCATGCCCGAACATGTTCCCCCACGCAAATGGGAAGGTATTGGATGATGAAATAGTCATCGTCCACTCCTCCGGCTTGATAGGCGAGCCGGAAGTCTTTGAGCCAAATGCCTAGGTTTGTCTCCCCGGTGTATTTGGTGATGTTGGAGGGAGGTCGGAAACGTTGTGGGAATGGTGCCCTCCGGATGCGCCGGCTGAAGGCCCGTGGCCCCGGACCCTCAGGGCTGGGGCTCCGGTTGTCCGGCCGGTGACCGCGCCTAGGGCGTGTTTCACCGCTTCCCTCAATGGTTTGGCCGAGATCTGTGTCGCCCGCCGCCATGTGGCGGTCGTTGTTGTCGCGTCGGGCCCGATGCCGATCGCTGATGACGCTATGAGCGTCCTGGTGTGGGTCAGGCCGCTCGCGTGCCGATGGTCGGTGTGGAGCAGGTGCCCGGTCGGACCACGGCGCGGCTGCCGCACCCCGAGCTGAGCCTGATGGCTGTGGCGGTGAGCGCATGGAGCGATCTGGTTGGTGCGTCCCTATCCCCCCGGTGGGGAGAGAGGGTGCGGGTCGGAGTCGCGATGCGGAGCTTTTCGCCTGCTGGACGGCGGCGGCCTCTACTAGAACCCAGAGGTTCCGGTAGACGGCTCGTTCCTGGGGGTCGATGGGCTCGGGGACACCGTGCAGGAGCATTGCCGCGGCAGCGATGTTCTGGCCGGCTCGGGCGAATTGCGGGACGTCATTTCCCTCATTCAAAATGTCGCGCTGGACCTATCGAGCGCATCCTAGGGCGCCGCCCGCCGGGCCATGCGCGGCGCAACATGCCGCGGTGATCGTGCCATCGCAGGTGGCGGGTTCTGTCGTCGTTGTCGTAGTTCCTCGGCGTGCGCTTGCGCAGACGCGAGGGCCTCCGCACGCGTGTCCGGAGGGGTGTGTGTTTGCGTGGACTCGGCGACCACCGGTGGTTGTGCTGGACGATTCGCCATGGCGCATTCCCAGGATGGATGGTGGCGGGACGCCACATCACCAATGCTGGAACCATCACTCTCGCCCTCGTTATCTAGGAGTTCGTGGGAGGCGGCAGGAGCGGAGCCTGCCATTCCTACGAATTCGGACATGAGGGGGGATGGCGCCAGCGTCCTTCGGAGCCCCCGAGCATCGGCGTCCATGGAGGACGCGAGGCCATAGGGGAACCGAACGTACGGTGTTCGTGGTGTGGGTGGTGCGGTCCCTCCAGACGATTGGTGGGAGGTAGTAAATAAAGGGCGAATAAAGGTACGCATATTACTTACAGTGGGGTTTGAGCAGAGAGTTTGCTCGGAATGAAGCGCAGATGCCGCGCCGTTGAGGTCGCGCGTCCCGGAGTCGACGGAGAACGTCACTCCGATGGGTGTCGAGTCTCGAGTTTCCTCGCGGAGGTGGAGTACGCCGAGCCGGTCGGCGACGAAGTCTAGGCCTCCGAAGAGGAAGGCCTGGGATGGCTCGAAAACGAGTGGAACCCGCATGCCCGTAGGCCAGAGTGCGGGATACTCTAGTGAGCCAAGGCGGATTGCGTCGCCCGAGCCCCCCGCAGTGGGGGTGGCGGAAAAATGGGCCATCCGATGACCAAAAAGTGTTGAACGTACAGTGTCTTCCCCACGACGGCGCCAACTGTCGGTACAGAAAGTGACCAACTAGTGAATATTTGTAGTTTTGTTGTACGTTGTGATCGGAGGTGGCCTAACACTCAATGACATAGGATTTAGACTGGTTCGGGCAACATGCCCTACGTCTAGTGTGGGTCTGTTGGTGACTTTATTCCTGAGCCCAGGTGCTCGAAGTCTATAGTGGGGTTACAAACGAGAAGGAGAAAGGAGGGGTGTACGAGAGGCCCGGTCGGGTCCGACCGGAAGGCCGAGGGCGACCGGAACTCCGCTATGAGCTAGGTGTTCAAGCGTGTGCTTGAGGGGTTTCTAAGCTATCGATCTAGTGAGCCTGAGCTTGAAGAAGTGGACCTCTAGAAAATCTATCTCGTTTGTTGGAGGGAGCGCATCCCCTTTTATAGATAAAGGGGATGTCTTTACAGGTGAGAGGGAGAGAGTATGGATGTTTCTAAGTCTTGTTGCCCACGCCGAATGAGGGTAGTGATGATGGTTGGCACGCATAACACCGTTGATGTCGCCAGAGAATGTCAAAGTAGCACATGGGGGGTTGCGTTGGCTTCTTCAGAAGGGTGGACGTCGGGCACTGTGAAATGTGTTAGTATATGAGGAGCCCCACCACGTGTACCGTGTATGGTGAATCTCGGTGTCCACTATCGATGCCTGTGAGGCATGTGGGGGCCTTTTTGTCGTGATGGAGAGCCCTAACGGCACCTACAATCATGTGAGACGTAAATGTCGGCGCGCCTACAATATTGTAGACACAAATGTCGGTACCTCCCATACTGTTTGTGTCAGGTCGGTTGTGGAGTACTATTCCCGTAGGCATACTGTGGTATGGTCCCGACACTGCGTGTTTTGACTTCGCGGCGCTACTTTCTCCGTTCACCTGGTCCCTTCCGAGTGGGAATCCCGGTCGGATGGCTCCGAACAGATGGCCGTGCCATCGGAGAAGAGATGTAAGCGGTGCTTCCCACGAGCCTCGGTCGGAGACATGGGGTCGGAGAGAAAGCGGCGTTTTTGGGCCAGCCTTCCGATCGGGAGCCCGCTTGGGAGGGCCTGGCGCCGAGGTGTGCGCCTCCGGCGGAGAGAGAAGGTGGGTCAAGAAGTTGTCGAGCGGCGTTCGTTCTTTCGATGGACCTTCCGTCGGGACCGACGATCCGTCCCCTACCCGTTGTTTTTAGACTTTTGGGCGGCCCATGAGCTACAAACTGTTTCTCCTGGGCCGAGCCCGGGCATCGAAGTCGGTCCCTGAGGGACCCCGGGTTTATAAACCCGACAGTATGCACAAGCTTGGGGGGGGGCAAAAAATCAAAAGAAGTTACTACCATGTAAAACTAAAGTTGCTTATCCAAAAATATACTAAATAAAGTTATTACATAGTATGCATAAGCTGAGGGAGGCAAAAAAAAATATCAAAAGAAGTTATTACCATATAATACCATAGTAGTACAACTTGGGGGGCAAATTATTGCAATAAACCTAAAAATAGAAGCTCTTGCATAAGGTATTAAGGTGGGGGTAAATTTTTCTATGGCAACTTATGTATGCAATACATTGTAGGTGAGGCAATTAATATGTAGAATTTAGAAATGCATTCAAACCTAAAAGGGTAACTAAAAAATGAAACTAAAAAAAATAAAAAAAAACTTGACTGAAAACTGAAACTAAAAAACACTGAAAAAAACTTGAAAATAGAAACTGAAAAAACAGCACTCAAAATAAAAACTGGAATTGAGAAGAGAAAAAAAAGAAGATTAAAGACTAAAATTATATAATGAACAACATGGAAACAGTGTTTAATGTGACGTCCATCAATTTCTGGAAATCTCGTGACATACATCTCAGCTTTATTGGACCGACACAAGCAGGAAAGAAAAAAACTAGTGCTGGCGAGCTCCTGCTGCTCTACGTGACGAGCGGAAATTGGGTGCTGTCCGCCTGTCCCCGCGTGCGTGGGCTGAGTGGGAGCTGCGCGCCTGGGTCGCGCGGGCTGCGCGCGTGGCTGCGTGAGCTGGCCCGCGTCGCGCGCAACGCACAGCGAGCGACCGGCCGTGTGTTAGAATTTGAGCAAAAAAGAAGAAGAGTACACCAGCAGCTTCCTTCCCCGTCCGCCGTCCGGCCGGGTGGACGAGGAAAGCAGGTGACGCGCTGCGGGTCGCGAGTGGCCTGGTCTGGGGTAGGCTGAGCTGTGTCGGAGAGAGCGGCAGGGGCCCAACGGATCCTGAGGTCGGCTTGGAGTTTGGACTCCGTACCCGTAGACCGTAGCCGTTCCGTTTGGGCGCCAAGAAAAGCTCGCCGCATCCGCCGCGCGCCTCGTCTCGTCCGCCTCGTCGGCGCCGCCAGCCCCGTCGGGATGGTAAGCGCCGCCCCGTAACCCTACCTCATCCACCCCAGCAGGCAGATCCACGGCTCCTGTGTCTTTTTTTTAAAGGGCCTCTGTTTGGTTGTAGGGCTTATATTTGTTTTTTCGGTCTTTTTTCTGGCTTCGATTGATCTCGCCTCGAGGGGCACGTGTAGGGAATGGTGCATTTTTGGGGCGTTTAGGGTTGGGTTTGTGTTCTTTCCCACCGTTTGCTTGCAATAGACTTCCACTGAATCGCCAGTGAGAAACTGCCACCAGGTTAGTGATAATAGGTTAGAGGCATCGTGTCAACCTTGGGTCTCTAGTGTTACGTGTCTTTCAGCAATAATTCCTACGGGTATATAAGAAATTTTAGGTGTGGATCGGATGATTAGCAGTTAAGAGAGTCCGTGTCAACTTTGGCTGTCTGGTGTTACGGGTCTTTCAGCAATAATTCCTACGGGTATACAAAATTTCAGGTGTGGATCAGATGATTAGCAGTTAAGAGAGTCCGCGTCAACTTTGGGCCTCTGGTGGTACGGGTCTTTCAGCAATAATTCCTACGGGTATACGGAATTTCAGGTGTGGATCAGATGATAGCAGTTAAGAGAGTCTGTATGGCGAGAACCGAGCGAGCGCTCGGGTGGCGTGTGGGGCCGGTGTGCATGCAGCAGGCATGAGTGCGATTCTCACCGGGGTTTGTCCCCAATAATTTCTTCCAGCCTCTCACGTGTGGAGCCACAAAAAGAATGTGACACATCCATCGCCTGCGGAGCCATGGATGGTCCCAGTGATCTCTTCAAGGACGCGGTTTTCAGATCTAAGTGTAGTTGTATGCTTGTTTGTGTACACGTGGTGTGAGTGAGGTGTGCGCGTGTGTTGGGGAGTACATGAACGTGCACAGATACTACAGCTGTACCTAGATGAGAGCCGTAAAAAAAAAGAGTCTGTATGACTAGATGAACTTGCTCAGTGACATACATGGCTGCAAGTGAGACCATGTATTAGTCAGGATCCGTTGCACTCCAGTCAAAGTTATTTGTTTTGGACTTTTGTTATGTATGTATATATGTATCTACTGTAAGTGTTGGAGTGATGATACTTGTTGTCGTTTGCTACCTTTACAAATAATCTGAAGATGTGCATTCACTCCGTTGCTGTATATATGTACATATAGTACCATAAAGTTTGTTTTCAGATCCACTGTTTACAGCATCTCCTGTTTCATGTTTTAACAAGGACCTACGTATTGTGAAAAAAAAATAGATAATGGATAGACTGATCCTCCTTTCCCATTGTGATGCTTAGTCTAAGAAGAGGGGGCTTTCGTTGGAGGAGAAACGGGAGCAAATGCTTCAAATATTTTATGAGAGCCAGGACTTCTTTCTGGTAAATTCTTCGGACAACAATTTGTTATGTTCATTTCAGTGTTACCATATTAACTGTGTCCAAGGAACTTATGATTTCTGTTCCAAATGTGAAAATGTCTCTGTTTGTTACTGTGGCAGTAGTTGCATTTCTCCCTTTCTTCTGCTTATTTGTTGTATTAAATATTTTGGAGGGTTGAAATAAAGAATACCAAGTGGCTTGCCCTGTATCAATCAAATTACTGCAGTTTACTAATAGTTTCTATTTGATTCTAAGTTGACACGATCATGCTTCCTAATTTATTTCCTGGAAGGATCACTGATCTGTCTCATTTGATAATAGCAGTATCTTCTCTTTTCAATCCACAACCATTTATATTAATGCAATCATTTTTCCATAGGATTGTTCAAATGCTGATGCCAATTTTATGCTTAAAATTGGAAATTCATGTGAATATTAGTTAACTTTCCTGTGGATTTTGCTACTTGGCTTCTATTCTGTTAGGTTTTGTTATGTACATTGTGTTTTTCCAATGCCATAAAATATAATTCTTCCCATATGCCATTTTTAGCTTAAGGAGCTAGAGAAAATGGGTCCTAAAAAGGGAGTGATTAGTCAGTCTGTGAAGGATGTGGTGCAAAGCCTGGTGGATGATGATCTTGTCTTGAAGGACAAAATTGGGACTTCTGTAAGTGTCATGGTCGGGCGCACATATGTGAGACGGCGTCGCGCCCGTGACGTGCGCCGCGCCCTGGAACGAGCAACAGCCACGCGGGAGGAGGAGGCGCAAGGCTCAGGCTCCGTTAGTGGCTAGGAAAGAAAGTAGGAGAGCTTTCTGTTATTAGTTCCTTAAATTATGGAGTTTGTTACTTCCTTTAGTTTGGGCCCTTGGCCATATAAGTTGTAATCGCACTTTGGAGAAAATCAATCAAGAATCAGTTGCCTATCTTCTCTCTCCCTCTCAGCCTCTCAAGCCGCCGGTCGTGGGGTATAACCCAACCAATGAGGACACGGCGTGGGGTATAACTCGCTGGCTACCACGGACCGGAACTACGAGTTGCGTGAGTCGAGGTCCGCGATTTTGAGCGCTGGAGGCCCTTGACAACTTGGTATCGACATCCGTGTCTCGCTGTTCTCTCCCACGCGATCCGATCAACCCACCACACCAGCCGCCGCCCAAAACCCTAACCCACCTCATCCTCCACCCACCACATCCACCATGGCCGAGCCCACCATGGCCGAGCTCATGGACATGATCAAGGCGATGAACTCCGAGATGAAGTCCGAGATGAAGACACTGAAGGATGAGATGGCGGCCCTGAAGGACAAGCCGTCGTCCTCGGGTGGCGGAGGGGACGACCACCGCACCTACGCGCCGCGTGACGAGGAGTTCCACCCACGTCCCAAGAAGTGGGATTTTCCCCGCTACGATGGAACCACCGATCCGCTTCTCTTCCTCAACAAGTGTGACGCCTACTTCCGCCAACATCGCACGATGGCTGAGGAGCGCGTCTTGATCGCGTCCTATCACCTGGACGAAGCTGCGCAACAATGGTTCATGCAGCTCCAAGATGAGGAAGCCACACCGTCGTGGGGGCACTTCAAAGATCGGCTGAACCTCCGCCGGGCCACCCCTCCGATCCGCACCGATGTTTGAGCTCTCGGAGTGCCGCCGCACGGGCACCGTGGAGGAGTACTCCACGCGCTTCCAAGCCCTCCTCTCCCGTGCCGGGCGTCTGGAAGAAACCCAGCGGGTTCAGCTCTACACAGGGGGATTGCTGCCGCCGTTGAGCCACGCCGTTCGTCTGCATCACCCAGAGACCCTCACCGCCGCGATGAGCCTCGCCCGACAGGTCGAGTTGATGGAGTTAGATCGGCTCCACCAGCTGCGACCTGAGCCGCTGTAGCTCGTTCACCACCGGCGCCGCCTGTAATGCCCAGCGCCTGCTCGGCTCTCACCAGCAGAAGAACAAATCGCAGCGTGCGTTTCGGCCCCAGCCCATCATGGTGGTGCCGGCCTCAACCTGTATAACGCCGGCCCGACCAAGCGACTGACCACAGAGGAGCAAGCGGAACGGCGCCGGCTCGGCCTCTGCTACAACTGTAATGAGCCTTACTCCAGGGGCCACAACCGCGTCTGTCGTCGCATCTTCTACATCGACGGCGTGGACCTGGCCGAGGAAGGCAGGGAGGAGGAGGCCCCGGTGTTTTCCTTGCACGCGGTGGCAGGCGTTCCCGGCAACAACACGATCCAGCTTCGGGTCCAGGTGGGCGCGGCTGACTTCATCGCGCTCATCGACACCGGCTCCACGCACAGTTTATCGGGAGACGCCGCCGCGCAGCCGGGCTTCCTATCGAGCCGCCGCCACTACCGACGGCGGCAACGGCGGCAAGTAAACGGCGGCGCGTTTCTGTCCGGGCGCCGCCAAGCGCCGGTGATCATCGAAGGCCTGGCTTTCCAGGTTGATCTGTTCCTCATGCCCTTGCAGGATATGATGTGGTGTTGGGCACCAATTGGATGGCGCCACTGGGGGACATCGTGTGGAACATCAACGCCAGCACCATGGCGTTCCAACACGACGGCCAATCCGTCTGCTGGCACAGCGTCGGCCCCAAAGCCCCTGCTCGTCTCCACGCTGCTGAGGTCACCGAACCCCTCCTCGACGCGCGCTCTGGGCGGCTTCCACGACGTCTTCGCCACGCTTATGGCCTACTACCGGAAGCGGGTTATACACACCGTGATCGCCCTCAAGCCCGACGCGACACCGGTGGCCGCGTCGCTTGCATATCGCTACCCGGCCGCCCACAAGGATGAGTTGGAGAAGCAATGCGCTGACATGATCAGCCAAGGCATCGTCAGGCGCAGCGACTCCGCGTTCTCATCGCCGGTCCTCCTCGTCAAGAAGCCGGATGGCTCGTGGCGTTCTGCGTCGACCCGCATGAAAGTCAACGCCATCACAGTGAAGGACGCGTGACCCGATCCTCGTCGTCGACGAATCGCCTGGACGAGCTCTGTGGTGCCCGGTTCTTCACCAAGCTTGACTTACGATCCGGTACCATCAAAGCGCATGCGCCGGAGGACGCGTCCACAAGACGGCGTTCGCACCCACGACGGCCTCTACGAGTTTACGGTGATGCCGTTTATGTAACGCCAGCGCCCAACATTTCAGGCTCTCATGAACGACGTACTCCGCCCCTTCCTCCGTCGCTTTGTGCTCGTTTTCTTTGACGACATTCTAATCTACAGCACGTCATGGGCGGACCATCTTCGACACCTCGCGCGGTCCTCACCGAAGCTCATATACGCCCTCTTCTTCGCTTTCGAAGTGTGCGTTCGGGGTTCCCTCGTTGCGCCTACCTCGGCCCACATCATCTGGCCGGGCGTGGCCATGGACTCGGCCAAGGTCCAAGCCATCCACGAATGGCCGGTGCCTCGCTCGGCGCGGGCGATACGCGGCTTCCTCGGCTTGGCGGGCTACTACCGCAAGTTCATCCACCACTACGGCACCATGGCGGCACCCCTCACAAGCTTGCTCAAGAAGGAGGGCTTTCGTGGAGCCCCCGAGGCCGCAAGGCGTTCAAGACCTCAAGATGGCCATGACCACGGCCCGTCCGCCTGCCCCGCCCGACTTCACCAAGCCGTTTGTGGTCGAGTGTGACGCGTCGCCCCACGGCTTCGGGCGGTCCTCATCCAGACGGCACCCACTCGCCTTCTTCAAAGAGCCGCTGGCACCACGACACCGAAGGCCGGTTGATGAGCGTGAGCTCATCGGCTTGGTCAAGCGGTGCGGCATTTGGCGCCGTGTATCTCCGGGTCGCCGCCGGCGTCAAGACGGACCATTACTCCCTCAAGTTGGATCGGCGCCTTGCCACCATCCATAACACCATTGGTCGGGCAAGCTCCTTGGGTTCGACTTCTGTCGAATATAAGCCGGGCGCGGCGAACACGGTGGCGGACGCTTTTTGTATCGCCGCGCCGCGACACGGAGGACGGGCGCCGCGCGCCTATCGGCCCCCGCTTCGACTTTCTCGACCGCTTGCACGCACGCAGAATGGCGACGACTCATTCGTCGCTCTCCGCGATGGGATCACGTCCGGGAACCGCCAGGCGCCTTGGACGCTCGTGGACGGCATGGTCCACTTCGACGGCAGGCTCTACATTCCGCCCAACTCCCCGCTGCTCCAAGAGATCATGGGGGCGATACATGAGGATGGACATGAGGGCGTTCAACGCACCCTGCATCGTCTACGGCGTGACTTCCACTTCCCTAATATGAAGCGGCTTCGTCCAAGACATGGTCGCGAATGCACGGTGTGTCAAGAGATAAGTCCGAGCACCTCCAAACCGCCGCCTACTTCTTCCCTACCGGTGCCACAGGTGTCTGGACTGACATCGCCCTTGATTTTGTGGAGGCTCTTCCTCGCGTCCGTGGCAAGTCAGTGATCCTTACCGTGGTGGACTGATTCAGCAAGTATTGTCATTTCATCCCGTTGGCGCACCCATACTCTCTTTGAATCGATCGCCTGTGCCTTCTTCACCGACATCGTTCGCCTGCATGGCGTTCCCCAGTCCATTGTCTCGGATCGGGACGCGGTTTTCACGTCCTCCTTTTGGCGGGAGCTCATGCGCTTGATGGGCACCAAGCTCCACATGACGACGGCCTTTCACCCGCAGTCCGATGGGCAGTCCGAGTCGGCCAACCGCGTCATTGTCATGTACTTGAGGTGTTTGACAGGGGACCGACCTCGCCAGTGGGTCAGGTGGCTTCCGTGGGCGGAGTATCTCTTCAACACGGCGTTTCAGTCTTCCTTGCGCGACACCCCTTTCCGTGTGGTGTACGGGCGCGACCCGCCCTCGATCAGGTCCTATGAGCCGGGCGACACCAAGGTGCACGCGGTCGCTAAAACAATGGCGGAACGCGAAGAGTTCCTGGCCGATGTCCGCCATCGCCTGGAGCAGGCGCAGTCCGTGCAGAAGCTGCAATATGATCGCCACCACCGTCAAGTGAGCTACCAGGTGGGAGATTTGCGTCTTCTTAACGAAAAGCGGCGTCCTCATTGCCGCCGATTCTGGGGGCAAGCTAAAGCCTCGCTTCGTCGGGCCGTACCGCGTCGTCGAGCTCATCAATGAGGTGGCTGTGCGTCTTGCTCTACCGGCAGGTGCCCGCATCCACGATGTCTTCCATGTGGGCCTCCTAAAGAAGTTCCATGGCAACCCACCCGCTGCTGTGCCACCGCTACCGCCCCTTCGTCATGGCGCCGTCGACCCAGAGCCGGAACGCGCGGTGCGCTACCGTCTCGCCCGGGGGGTTCCACAGGTGCTCATCAAGTGGAAGGACTGCTCCGCCGCATCGTCGACATGGGAGGACACCGACACGTTCCGCACCAGGTTTCCCTCCTTCCAGCTCGAGGACGAGCTGACTCTCGACGGAGAGGGAGATGTCATGGTCGGGCGCACATATGTGAGACGGCGTCGCGCCCGTGACGTGCGCCGCGCCCTGGAACGAGCAACAGCCACGCGGGAGGAGGAGGCGCAAGGCTCAGGCTCCGTTAGTGGCTAGGAAAGAAAGTAGGAGAGCTTTCTGTTATTAGTTCCTTAAATTATGGAGTTTGTTACTTCCTTTAGTTTGGGCCCTTGGCCATATAAGTTGTAATCGCACTTTGGAGAAAATCAATCAAGAATCAGTTGCCTATCTTCTCTCTCCCTCTCAGCCTCTCAAGCCGCCGGTCAGGGGGTATAACCCAACCAGCGAGGACACGGCGTGGGGGTATAACCCTGCCGGCTACCACGGACCGGAACTACGAGTTGCGTAGTCGAGGTCCGGCGACTTTGAGCGCGGAGGCCCTTGACAGTAAGTTCTTTTTTTTTCAGTCTCTATTATTGTAGCATGGAGCAACAGTAGTTCGACTGCTAACACAATGGTGTAACCATTTGCATTGAGAGTTTGGCATTGAGTTAAGTTATCAGTGATTCAGAAATAGTTTCCTGTATTATCCAACTGCTTGCTCTTGCATATAACTGCAGCTTTACATATTGTCTGTGCTGCAAACAAATATATTTTGTTATTCATAAAACCTTTTCTCTCTAGCTCCCAGCATAAAATAGTTTTCTTGCAGGTGTACTTTTGGAGTCTTCCAAGTTGTGCTGGGAACCAGGTCTTGTAGACTTATTCCTCTCAAATCTTCTTTCTCTGCATACTATGATGAATTGGTGGTAGATAAGTTGCTGATCTTAATTAATAACTGACAATAAGATCCAGTATCAAGAAACAATATCTTTGTTCTATGATTTTCTGATGACGAGTAGTAAGACATGTCTAAAGTAAGCAGGCCAGAAGTCAGAAGAGGTTCTTGTTTTTGGATAATGTTTCTACATTTACTGTGTGCGTGATAAGGTGCGAAACCTCTTAACATATAGTCTGATGCTGTTAAAAATGTGATACAAGCTAACTTCATAGAAGCTTTGCAAGAAGAAAGCTGCATTTGCGATTGCCTACACCATTTGGAGGGCCACTGTACTTTTTCTAGGGTTACAAACAAAATCCAACAAATCACGATAAGAAGAATATAGGGGTCCTACGTTTTTCTCTATTGCGCATTGTTTTGCACTTTTTACTCCTCCCTTATTACCCTTGTTTTTCTCTATCACGATAAGAAGACATCTCCCTTATTCTCTAACTTCATAGCTGATGATGATTGAGCTAATGTATCCTTTGTAGCTGAGGAATACTTACAACAAGCTGGAATCTGATCTTTCAAACTCTAGAAAGCATTACATGGAGCTTGTTGAACATAGAGACAACTTGAAAAGAGGCCGGGAAGACTCTGTATGTTATTATGCATATTGTCAAGATGTGCAGTAATCATTTCGACACAAGAACTAATTGTGTTGTTATAGGAAGAGAGGGAAGCTGCTTTGGAGGAGCTGAAGGCTGTAGAGCTACACCATAAGAAACTCAAGGTGCCATTATATTCGTTGGTCTATCCTATGGTTGTTTTAGTCCTATCTACAGCTCAACAATGTTATAAAAATTTCAGGAGGAACTGGCTGCATATGCAGATAGTGATCCAGCTGCAGTAGAAGCAATGAGTATGAGATGGCCTCTTTATACAACTCTTGTATTGATATATTGCTGTCATTGATACATACATCTGTTTTAATTTTCTTCACATGGCATCTTTTCATCTTAGTTCTAGCAATATCATTTACCTGATCTGAATCTGTGATGCACATCTTCCCCTCATTTTAACTATTACTATATGCTGGTAATTGCAGAGGATGCTATTGACGTTGCTTATTCAGCAGCTAACAGGTGGACAGGTCATATTTTTGCTAATGAACTCCCCTAGATATATGTCCAATTGCTGTCATTCTAAGGCTACACTAACATTTTGAATAATATTCCAGACAACATTTTCACTTTGCAACAATGGTGTTCAACCACATTCCCAGAAGCAAAAGAGCAACTTGAACATATGTACAGGGAGGTATGTTTCTGTCTTCTTGTTCTGTTTTGACCTTTTCGTGTTTGCAGTATGTTGCCTGACTTCCAGTTGATTAAATATGTTCCATTATGCAATGGGATTTACCCACAAGGCCACAAGTGTCAAGGACATTGGTGCCTCTGCGTCTTTAGTATCCAGACATTCAATAGTATTGTGATTTTGGGGCCTGGACCTTATGGAATCATAGGAACAAGTGTGTTTTGATGGTGTCTTGCACATCAATTCTTCATGGAGTTGAGACTATGAGGTCTTGCTAGAGCCAAAATGCTCCAAGAACTGGGCCTAGGTCGTGATTAGGACTAGTTGTGTAGTCTTTATCTGGTTGTTTGTAAAGAGTCCATTAAGTGACCATTTTCTTCTGTCCTTAATATAAGATACATAGCTCTGTTGCATGTTCGAAAAAAAAAATTAGATTGAGGGTAAGGCTTGCCACTGACACCCTTCCCTAGACCCCGCACAGAGCGGGAGCTCTCTGCATTGGGTACGCCCTTTAGGCTTATTGAATTAGCAGAGTTCTCTGCTATGCCATCAGAGTACTGAGTACTTCTATGCCATCTGCTGCTGATGACACCAATAATGAAACTGTCCCACGCACACTGGTGCATTAAAAGAGGGGGTGGAGGATATAGAAGAGAGGGCACTTTGTATGACTTGTAGATGCACTGGTTCTTGATTATGTCACTAAAACTGATCAATAAGCATGTACTGATGCTTGAGTGAATCAAATGTTATAAGTTCAGCTGAGCATGCTACACAAGCATATCCCTTTTTTTGGTCTGGCCCACATAAACTGCTTCATTTGAAATCCTTTTGTTCTGTAGAGACCTATGACCTAAGTGCATGTTTGGCTTGAGCATGATGGATATGTTGGAGATGGCGCCCAACCTAAGCACTTCCTTTTCATAGTTCAGAAGCATTGGTTAATCACTATTTAGTAGTTTGTAATTGGAAAATATTTTTTTAATTGTTTGCTGGCAGTGAGGTTTGCCTCCATCTACATTGCAAAGAACAACTAAAATTAGGGACAGTTCTTTTCAACACTGCTTAATGTTTCTATATTCCAAGTATTAAGTTAAACTGTAAAGTATCCTCATTTCCTTTTGCAAGAGATTTTTCCTTGTGTGCACTCAATCCTGGTTCTGACTAAGTTCTTGTAAAAATTCAGGTTGGGATCACCGAAGATTTTGAGTACCTGCAGTGATGTCTAACAGCCTATTACAGCATTGAATGTGCCACGGAATGTTGGATCCACCACAGATACAAGTTTATCATGTTGCTGTAATGTGAGCAGTTGTCTGCAGTAAATGGTTTTAGTATCATTCAGATGTTTGGCAACGATGACCCAACAATATGGCCACATTCATGTTAGGGACTATACTATTTCTAGATGGTACCAAGTAGTCTTTCTCCTGCAATGCTTCAAAACTTATCGAAGCCTCGATTTTATTGAATGTATATTTCTTTGCTGAGGATGGGAAGGACAATAACTTGCCAGCTGGAAATAAAAATACTGCCCTAAAAATAGCTGGAAATAATAATACTAGAACCAATAGAAACTAAGGATTTTGAAGACCATGTCAGAAGGGCATATCTGAAAATTTAGTGACGTGAATTTTTTCATCAGGAACATTCTTTGTTCAGACTGAATCACTGAAAATAATACCTTGATTGCTAAAGCATTAGACCTTTTCAGTGGAGGGAACTTTATTCTTGGGGGTACTTGAAGCTACTAAAAGGGTCCTTGGTCAACTAGTAAAGGTATCAAAATTTAGTAGACGGATTTGACCAGTCGGTACTACTTTCTCTGTTTTAAATTGTAAATTATTTTGACTTTTTTTTGGTACATAGGTTTATGTTACACATCTAAATACATATTGTCTAATTATATAGTAAAAGCTATGTATTTAAAAAAAAACAGAATGACTTATAATTTGGAAAGGAGGGAAGTTGCTAATTTGCTATTCTATGGTTACCATACCTCTTGATCTATTGCTTTAGTTTCTACGGAGGGTCCACTCACAACCGAGAACGGGCCATTATGTTTAATTAAAATTATTACTCGTTCCAATGTCTGCCAGTCATGGTGGAGTGGGGAAGCACTAGCAGTATCATATTGTAGTAGTAGCAGTAGTAGAAACTAAACAACCAACAGGAGCTGTTTGGACAATATCGACACCAAACCTTACAGTAATTCACAACACCGTACCATAATTTGGCTTAGCTGGATTTGTTGATGTAGGGAATTCATTGAATGACTTGGCTTTGCTGACCATGCTAGGCTCATATGAGTATGACCACTCCTAGTGCATGTGCCCATGCCATCAGATCCACTAGTCACACTATAGTAGCCCCACTAGGACGGTCAATCATTTGTGTAAGCTCTTCTAGATATTCTCATCGTAAGTGGAAGTCATCTACTCATCTGCCACAATGCTGGGGCCTTACATTCCGTTCTTCTTTCTTTTTTTTTTTTTTCTAAGTTTTGTCCTTGCTCTGACTTACCCAAACTACTGTAGGCATGCTCTCTGATTGTCAATCACCATCACAGTGACACATTTATTTTGGTGCTTTTATATTGTACTCCCTCTATCCCTCAATAAATAGATTCTTAGAGTTGTCTAAAGTCAAACTTTTTAAACTTTGATTGAATTTCTTGAAAAAAATTCATCAAGCTTTATGACATTAATTAGTATCATTAGATATACTATAGAATATATTTTCATAATGTGCTTATTTTATATCATAGATGTTGTTACTCTTTTCTATAAAGTTAGTCAAACTTAAGATAATTTGACTTGTACAAATTCTTGGAATTAATTTATTTGGGGACCGAGAGAGAGTATTGTGGTGTATACTAGCAGTTTATGGTCATTCCATTTTCCTTTCTATCAATATAGTGGGAATAATATTATCATTGAATAACTCCAGTTTCGGCTGCACGGTTCATTTCAAAAGATGTGGCAATTGCCTTTCAATCAATCCAAAGAAAATATTATCTTTCAATCAACACATTCTTCCAGATTTGTTCATAATCTACCTTCTAACAATAAATCTCCTTTGTAACCTTGCACCAGAAATAACCATAAAGTATGCATGGCAGGTGCAGAGACAAAATTGTTTTTTGAGAAAATGTGTAGTGCCATTAACAAAAACCGGAATTTCCCTGACAGACCAGCAAACACGTTAGCGGTGAAGGAAAAACCTATCAGCCAAATTACATTAGGACTAGCATGTTAGGAAATATAATTTTCAATGAATGATCAACGCGAAGCCAGGGAAAAACATCAAACATGCTCGTGGGTTAAGGCAAGGAGACACACTCTCGCCACTGCTATTCATTCTAGCAATCGATCCTCTCCAACGCATCATTGACATGGCTGCTGATAAAGGCTTTCTCCAGCCCGTTCTACCAAAAACAGCAAAACTGAGATGTTCCCTGTACGCGGATGATGCGGCGATATTTACTGCACCAACAGCTGATGATCTATCAAGATTGAGTAGAATCTTGCATACCTTTGGAGAATGCTCGGGTTTGTCGATAAACATGGCCAAAACGGAAATTTTCCCAATCAGAATGGACCCATCCACAGTGCAAAATCTTTCAAAATTTTCCAGGAAAGATCTGCAACTTCCCGGGGAAATAGAGCTACCACTTCACACCAGAAAACTGAGAAAAGTTGAGATCCAGCCTCTCATTGACAAGATCGGCTCAAGATTACCCGGATGGCAAGGAAAATTGCTATCAATGGCCGGACGAGAAACACTGGTAAAAACCGTGTTATCCTCACAGCCTATCTATCACCTTACGGCCTTCCCGGCGCAAAAATGGTTGATTAAGAGTACAGATAAAATCAAAAGGAGTTTCTTATGGCGTGGAGAATAACCAGAAAATGTCAAGGGTGGACATTCCCTAATCAACTGGCCAACCACATGCCGTCCAAAAGAAAAGGGGGGCCTATGAATTTTGGACCTTGAGAGATTTGCAAGGGCATTAAGGTTGAGATGGCTTTGGTTCAGATGGAAACAAAAAGATCGAGCATGGAACAATCTTGACACACCGTGTGACAAAACAGATGTGGAACTTTTGAATGCATCCACTGTGGTACAAGTCGGCAATGGAAAATCGGCATTCTTCTGGACATCAAGCTGGATCAGTGGTAAAGCAGCAAAAAGTATATCGCCAAGACTATTTGCAAAGTGCAAAAGAAAAAATATCAAAGTGGACAAGGGATTGAATAACAACAAATGGATAGAACACTTGCTCCCGATTAATGTGGCAGAACCTCATAAGAAATCGAGCCCACGTGCACCTATCGATGTCTCAACAGACCTCAGATAGCGTACACAAGTTCCCAACAACTTAACAGGTCTGTCGGGTGTTCTCGGGAAACCCGAATCATCCACGTTTCAAACATGATTCCAATCACAGTCATTGCAGATTACAACATTTTTCAATAAACATACCAGAGGTAATAAAGCGGAAGACTTAAGTTTAATATTACAAACCAGTTGTTTCAAGCTTACATAACCATAAGTGTCATACAACCATAGTAGCGAGATAATATTACATTAACCTTATTTATTTCACACAAACTAGTGCCTTGTCCAAAGGCCATTCATCATTCCTCATCGTCATCGACTTCATACACTGACATGCAGCAGGGACCAAAACAAGCCTGTACATACGTCTCCCCTGCAACAAGGGTTAACAAACCCTGAGTACAAAAGTACTCAACAAGACTGACCCGACCAAAAAGGGCGAAGGTCTTAGGGATGCTGGTGTTGGGTCAAGGTAAGAATGTAGAAAGATAAAAAAAATTCTTTGCCAAAAGCTTACTATTCTTGATCCTAGTTTCAAGTTTTACCACTAAGTATTTTAGTTCAATATCTCCAACTAAGTGTTCATATTCCATGTTCCAATCCTTCTCATTCCATTCTTTTTCTCATGTTTTAGTAATTCACCAGTCCTACATTGCTTTTGTAATGAATCGAGTCTCCATGTCCGCGGAGCACCGGCAATTCGAATTGATTCAAGTCCCAGCTGGGGATTCCTTATCACACGACATATGTAGAACTTAATCTTGCATATATCAACCTCGCTACCGGATCCTCCCATACTAAGCCATCTCCACGCCACCCGAGAGCACAGCACACCTCAAATCCAGCCACATTCAAGCCACGAGGGTACACGCTACTCCCGCTATCTCACCACTCCCAGTGCGTGGGCATTCGTCTTAGTATCGAATTAGCCGAAGTAGGCTTACCGGAGTATGTGACCAGTACTACAAAGTGTCTCATTCAGAAGATCCACAATGAGTGGCCTTTAAGCGACATAGTCAGCAATATTACCCAACATTCAAGATAAGTCACCCGACTAGTCTCTAGTTCATTCTATCTTCTTTCTTTCTTTGGCCAGTATGCCATCTTTGATTGTATCAAAACTTTTACTTTGAAATCCTACCACAAAGCACACTAAGCAATTCTACGCCTTTGTAAATGAAATCATCTTCAAGGATGGTAAACAATTAACAAGGTAGGCAATGCAGCAAATAGGTAACATTTGAATTAAACAACTTAATGCGATAAGTAACATAAGTGATAAACTTTTCAAAGTAAACAAGGTAATGGTTTAATTCATAAACCGGGGCTTGCCTTCGTTGGCGATCTCAGGTTCCGGATCAGTACCACAATTACCAAATCCCGCGACAACCGGGTATTCTTCCAGCACTTGTTCAACTAGAATCGTTTCACTCTCGGGTTCTACACGAAATGATAACATATGCTTTAACATGATGATAATGTAAACATGATGCTTTCACGGTACATGAAATGTAACAACACCCCGCAAATGATTTTATTTCACGGTACCGTTGCAAGCCAACAAAATCAACTTGCAATCCTACCATCAAAAACCATACATGGGACTTGAACAAATGGATCTTGAAACCCTACTGGTCACACCACATGACCCAAATCAAGATCAAACCCTAAACCTACGCTTAGAGTTTACCTTTATTTATTTTTGAATTAATTTAGAATTAAGCTCAAAAATGAACTTGCTCCAAATGATCTCAAAAATTTACAAAAGCATCCTCATGATAAATTAGTATACCAAAATAAATTTCATAATTTTTGGAGTTATACAGTGGCCTACAAAAATCATGGAAATTGCATTTATTAATTAATTGACTGAATTTTTGA